TGGATCTTGGAACATATCCCCCATGGATAAGGGTGAGTGGGGGCTTATAGTACTTCAGAAACACCATTCTGGGCTTCAGCTGCCTGATGTATAAAGTAGGACAATGGTATCACACCTGGATGGCAGGGTCCCTGACTTTGAGGAGTCCTCAGCCTTGTGGGGATTCAAACACACCCAGGAAGAACACCTGGGGCTGGATAGTACAAATACAAGAAGGCACAGAAAGATAAGGAGGGCTTGAAGGAGCCTGGCATGCTTTCCAAGGGTGAGGAACCTGGTACAGCATAGGACAAAGTAGTTGGGGGAAGGATAGAGACTGATCAAGTCACACAGCAAGCCAGGGAAGCCCAAGATTTGAACACGGGGTCATCTGACTCAAAGCCTAATCCTTTGCGCTATATCCCACGGCCTTCAATGTGCGGTTGGGGAGGGCAGATTCAGAGAAGCAGGAAGACACATGCTGAATTCATAGTTTTGAAACTTGCCTGCAGTGTGGACAGAGTGGGGCTGGTGCATGACTGAGAAGAAAGATAATGAAAGGCTTTGGTGGTGGGGCTGAAGAGGGGGTGTAATTTCAGAATATAGTTGGAGATCAAGTTGGTGGGTCTTAATACCACGGATTGAATGGGGACACAGCTCAGGAAAGAGGGGAGGCAGACTCCAGCTTGAACACCTGGAGGACAACCCAGGGGACAGTATTCTCAGCCCACTTCCACATTGTTGGCTAGTTCCACATCTTCCCTGCCTGACTCAGCCTCTCCCATTCCTGCTTATCCTTGGAGACCCAGCTGCAACTCCACTGTCGGCACCCAAAGGCCGAATCCATTCACAAAGAACCTTCCAGCCTGTCTCTCTAGCCTCCTTTTCCTGTTTCACACTGCTCCTTTGGGTGTCATGACCCCAGGAATCCCATTCAGGTATGCACATTCAGCAGGTCTTTCCTTAAGCATGAGATCTGGGGCTTACCACTCTGGGCACAGGGACTAAGGACCTGCAGGAGACTGTGAAGGCATAGATGAAAAGTGGGCTAGATCAAGGGTAGAAGATAGTGGGTTTCTTCCCAGCTGATTATGGAGCTGCCTGGAGTACTGTGGAGGGTTCTGAGGCTGTGTCCATGCTTAGCTGCACAGAGTATTGTGATCGATTAGTGATGTCTGCCATGAACACAGGAGGGATAGGGCAGGGTAAATGCCATTTATGTACAATTTCTTAATGACAAGATCTGTATTGTATGGACAATCTACAGCTGTTCTCAGGAAAAATCAAAGATGATATCCCAATGGCTGGTATAACTGAGGGCAGAAACAAATCAGAAGGGGGCTGTTAAGAGAACCAGGACCAGTGTCAGATACAGGCTGTCCTCAGCATTGCATTTCAACTTTCATACCACTCTCCACTTGTGTCCATTACATAATGATGCCCCTAAACCACCTTTTGTTCCCTGACTTGAGGCTCTCAAACCTCAGCTCACAAAGGGATTTTTCTAGCTAATGCCTGCCAGCCAGTGGTTTCGTTTTGGCAGCCTAAGTCATTGTCTGTACTGTGGTCTTTGAGCAGTTCATCTGAATATTTTATTTCCCTTATGGTTTTATTTTAAAAAACGTAAAAATGAAGGTGTGGATACCAGTGGAGGGAGGGTAGTTCTCCTCAATGTAATGTAGAAGCAGAACATGCATTTAGAACTTTAAACAATGGAATTACTTCAAAATAATTGTTATCTATTTAATAAATCATACTACTGTGGTCATTGAGGAGTAGTCTGCTATGTATGCTGCTGAGGGCATAGTGAGGGTGCATTTGGCCAGGTTATAAGTGACCCCTTAATGTTCACTCAAAAACAGACCAGGTGGAGGGGCGCCTGGGTGCTCAGTTTGTTGAGTATCCAACTCATCTCCTCATTTTGACTCAGGTCATGATCCCAGGGTCCTAGGATCCAGCCCCACATTAGGCTTCATGTTCAGCCTAAGATTCTCTCTCTCCCTCTGCCCCTCTACCTTGCTTGCTCGTGTGTGTGCTCTCTCGCTCCCTCTCTCAAAAAAAAAAAAAAAAAAAGACCAGGTGGAGTATAACCAACAAGTTTAGTCACATCAAGGTGGTCCCACAGAGTAAAGATAAAGTCCTATGATTTTCACTTGTTCTATTTTATAGGATAACATTCTTTTCCTTACATTTTGTGAGCATTGGGGGTTAAGATAGATATGTCATCCTTCGGGGCCTGGGCATTCTGGATAATTAATCTTCTGCCATACCACAGAGACAAAAGTGGAAATTATGCAATTAAAAGCAATAGATTTTAGCTTCCTCCTGTCTTTTCACAGACATAAGCCAGTTGACCACGGTGTGGGGGTTCATTTTGAAGGAAGATACTCAAGAATTTATATGAAATGCTGAAGATCCACGCAAGATTGTGTCTGTAAGGCTAAGAGAAATGGGAGCTTTTATACCACGATGAGCTGTCTGGGCAGGAACCGTCAGCCCTATTGACTGCTGGGCTCTCATTTTTGACTATTAATATCAGCTGTGGGCTCTGATTCTTATACATCTGACTTGCATTCACCTGAATTACAGTATATGTTACAGCAAGAGGTTGTTTGAAATAACTGACATGTCAGTAGAGCTGACTGTTGGTTTGGAAACAGGATGCTTAACTGGCTGGGGCAGGGCTGTGAGTAGGCTGAGGATGCTGCCAGCACTGTGGGCCAAGGACAGTGTCTGGATGAAACAACCCAGTCCTCCAGATGTGAGCTCCAGGACCCAATGACACCACCCTCTGCTGGTTCTTATTTCTTGTTTTTGAGGACTGGGTTTAAATCCCTGCTTTGTCACCAACTGAATGACTTACATTTGCATTTATGTAAAGTATGGACTCTTACTTTTTTGTTTGAAGGTTAAGTGCAAAGAAGCAATACATTTTTTTGTTACTGCTTTGCAATGTTCCTGTCCACTTTAGTCCCTCTAATGCGTATATGACCATTCTTCAATGAAGTAATAGCCCAGTTAACACAAGGATCACTGTGTGTCCTGCCATAAATAGCATCTCTATTTCAGTTTTTTGAAGATGTTAATTTATATGAAAATAAAAAATAATACAAGGAAAAATTCAAGTTACATAAATGTAACTCTTTCCATTGTCATGTGTAAAGTGGCTGGCATTTAGTAAGATTTTATTCTCTTCTTCCCTCTGTCCCCGTTTCCCATGTCCTGAACTCCTTTATGGTCCAATTCCTGGATCACCTCCTTGGAGAAGCCCTCCCTGACTGCCTCTGTAATTAGCTACTCTTTGGTCCTCCATCCTTTATATTTCGCTGATTACATAATGCATGAATTATCTACTTACCTACATGTCTGTCTTTTCTACCAGAGCAGGGCCTCTTGAGGCAGAAACTTCCATTTCGAGACTTATTTGCATATTCCAGAGTCTAGCTCAGCGCTTGGTGCATAGGAGTGTTTTTGGTGAGTGAGTGAGTAAGTAGGTGGATGAGTGAGTAAATGAATGAATGCAAAAACTGAGTGAGGGACTAGACCACTGGTAAAAGAAACCCTGAGCTGGGAAGGGTTTCAACTAGAAGAATTAAGACCGTAGGTCACACAGCACAAGTACTTTAGCAGGGAAGTCTGAGTCTCTGAACCATCCAAAAGCTGGTACACATATCTGTGTCTGTGCACCTTTGGGGGAAGAGAGGAGAGTCTGTAGCTGTCCTCAGATTCTCAGAGACATCCATGGCCCCCAAATGTTGACAAGTTGCTGATGTAAACAGATGGAACAGGCAGGCCCCACCGAGAGGGCACAACGAAGTGATTACAGAAGAGATGTGACAAAGGAGGAAAAATCAGACCTGGAGGAGGAGACACCGAGTCCTGCATGGACCTCAAGGAGAGGTTGTGGCCCAAGGACAGGATAGAGTCTTGAGGGTGTTGCTATTTGCTTATAAGCAGTGCTTGTGTGAGGAAACCCAGGGAAGATTCTGTTTCTTGTACAGAATCTGTGGGCTGAAAAGGGCTGCTCAGTTTGCTGGTTCCAATCACTGGCCTCCAGGCACACCGAGCAGAAATGATCCCAGGCAAACACTGGGTCTTTCGTGCCCCAAATAGCTTCCCTCCCCCATTTCCCTGCACTCTTCTGTTCTCTTCTGTTCTCTTCTGTTCTCTTCTGTTCTCTTCTGTTCTGTTCTCTTCTCGCCTCGCCTCGCCTCGCCTCGCCTCGCCTCGCCTCGCCTCGCCTCTCCTCTCCTCTCCTCTCCTCTCCTCTCCTCTCCTCTCCTCTCCTCTCCTCTCCTCTCCTCTCCTCAGTATGTATGTATGTAGGTAGGTATTTATTTAGAGAGGGCATGTGAGCAGGGGAGGGGCAGAGAGAGAGAGAGATAGAGAGGGAATCCCAAGCAGGCTCCACACTGTCAGCACAGAGCCCAAGGTGGGGCTTGATCTCTCAAACCCTGAGATCACGACCTGAGTCAAAGTCAAGAGTCAGACACTCAACCGACTGGGCCACCCAGGTGCCCCTCCCCTGCATCTTTCTATTCTATCCTTGGCTGTGAAAACTTGATTATCATTAAGAGCAGTCTTTTTCAAAAATGTGGGTCATGGCCCATTGGTGAATCGTGACGTAAATTTAGAGGGTCATGACCAGCCTTATGAAAACATGAAATAGAATATGATAGAAAATATTGAGTGCATCACACATGTAAGAGTGCGTATCATGTGGGACGTCCTGTTTCAGCTCAATATGTATGGGCTTTTGGTATCATATGTATTTCCTTTTGTGGGTTGTGGTCACAAATGATTGATAAGCACCAGTCTCAAGCATCATTGTAGACATTCACGAGATACTCGCTGAAAGGCCAGGCTCCTGAGCGGACAGTGGTGAGAGATGAGGTGGGAGAAGAAGCCACGTTGGGGTTCTACACTGGAAAGCCCTCTGCTCCTGGCCAGAAGTTAGGGCCCTGCCATATTGCCCACCACCATCACCCCTTCTTGATTCTTTCCTCTCCTCCCCTGGGCAGGTTGTATACGTCACTGCAACATTTCCCTATATCATGCTTCTGATCCTCCTGATCCGAGGGGTCACCTTGCCCGGGGCCTCCGAAGGCATCAAGTTCTACCTGTATCCTGACCTCTCCCGGCTCTCCGACCCACAGGTAAAGTTGCTTGCTTCGTGTCCAGTTGCCTGTCACCACTGGGATGCCGTCTGCCAGCCTCTGCTGCCAGCCATGGGGGCTTAGCAGCTGGCTGAGCATGTAGAAGTCCATGGACCCCTTCTCACAATAATCATTTTCCATGCATAAATTAAATGCCTAGGAAATCCAATATATTGAAATACAACCATCAAAACATCAACAAAAGACAAATTTGTGGCATGTAATAATATATGTGCTTGTTTATCAATACATTAAAGAGCAAGATCCAGCAACAGGTCCTATGATTTTTATGGTTTCAAAGTCATGGTGAGCATAAATGATGTGTGGAGATATCTATACTGTGATATGAAAGTATCTGGGATTTCTACTGCTGACAATTCTGCCGTTTGTTGTCTATATTCATAATTGAAGAAATGCTAAATTTGTTAGAGGTAAGTGTAAACAGAAGGTTTTTCCTCTGCCTAAGATCACAGATCCCCCAGCCATGCATCTCAGTGAGACCAACTGGGTCTTTGTTGGTGATTGATTTTCCTTGTGGGTGCAGCTTGCAAAAAGAAAATAATTGGTGAAAACTGGCTCACCTCTTAGTTGTGTCCGGTAAGGCGTTGGTTGTGCTGAATCTTGGATAGTGACTGTTTATACCTAAGCTTCTCTAAGTGGGCAGTGATGGTGTTCCCAGGTGTATGTTAGACAAGAGGTGAAAACAGACATCTTGCAGGCCCAGAAATGCTCAACCTCACTACTTGTTAGAAGCTCCTGGGACCTTTTGAAAAATCCCAATTCCCAGAGTGTAACCCAGACCAATTAAATTAAATGTTCTGGGGGTGGTTCCCAGGTATCAGTGTTTCCTAAAGGCCATCAGGTAAATCCAGGGTGTCAGATAATGTGCTCAAAGACATCTGATGGCCGAGGAGACATCCATGTTTGTTTAATTGAAGTATAGTTGATATACAATGTTATATTAGTTTCAGCTGTACAACATAGTGATTCTGGCATTTTCATATATTGCAAAGTGATCACCCTGGTAAATCTAGCTACCATCTGTCAACATACACAGTTGTTATATGTTATCAACTATATTCCATGTAGTGTACGTTGTATCCCTCTGACTTGTTTATTTTATAACTGGAAGTTTGTACCTTTTAATCCCCTTCTGCTATTTTGCCTACCCCCATCCCAGCAACCACTAGATTGTTCTCTGTATCTTGGAGTCTGTTTCTGTTCTGTTTTGTTAATTTTTTTTGGATTCAACATATAAGCAAAATCATACAGTATTTGTCTTTCTCTGACTTATTTCACTTAACATAATACCCCCAGGTCCATCCATGTTGTTGCAAATAGCAAGATTGCATTCTTCTTTGTGACTGAATAGTATTCCGTTGTATCTGTGTACCATATTTTCTTTATCCATTTGTCAATCAGTGGACACTTGGGCTGCTTTTATAATTTGGCTATTGTAAATAATGCCATGATGAACATAGAGGCACCCATATTTCTATTAAAATGAACATAGATACATCATGCATTAGAATGTAGAATCTGCATTCATAGTAGATGAGACTGCAGGAAACTCCGAGTCTGCAGTCTGTAGCTTCCAGCCACCCCCTGTTAGGAGAACTTGGGTGGAAAGGTTTATGGAGGGCGAGTTATTGCAGCTCAGGTGTAGCTCATTACACTGATTAAGGTCCATGGTGAAGTGGCAACGTGTGCTCATTTCTTCTCAGTTTGCTGTGCCGTGAGGGGCCCCTGAGGCTCGGGGCACCACCGGGCACCTGCCGCAGCATCCTGAGTTGCAGGCAGAATCCCTAGGAAGAAGGAAATTAGCTCCTGACTGTTGGCCTCACCAATTCCAACCTCTGATGGCAAAGGCTCAGTTGGAGAGTGAGTTTTGGAAAACGTATTTCCAGAATCACTGGTCTGTGCCTTTTTTGTCAGATCCACAAATTCTTGACCCAGTACAGATTTCCTGTTCTTTCCTCTGCTCACAGGTTTCCTTATCCTGTTCCTCAGGGTCTGTCAGGAAAGAGATCCTGGGCATCACCCACATTTTCCAAACCTAACTGATCATCGGAACACCTTGGAACATGTTAAGAATGCAGTTTTGGGGGTATGCGATGGCACCTGCCTATTTATATAATTAGGAAGCTGCCGAGGAGATTCTGATGATCAGAAAAGTTTGGGAAAAGCCAGCCAACACTTACGACCGTAGAGCCCTATCTACACATATACACATGTACCACAAACGCACATACCCACACACAGGACAGAGGTGAAGCCAGGTGTTCACCATTCACACTGTCTGCCTCATCATCCCAGTTTCCTGCCATCCCCCTTCCTCTCAGGCTTCGGCTCCCAGGCCAGCACTCACTTGCAAGGCTGTTCTGAGGAATGGCCACTTGGAGTCGTGGTATGAACATTGGGCCAACAGTCAGGACCTGGCTTTCCTCGGGCTCTGCTGCTGATCCTAAGTGACCTTGGACAGGTTCCTTCTCTTTTTCTCCTTCTGGGCCTTCGTTTTCCCACGAAGGCAAGAAAAGGTTGATTTCATTCAGCAGGTTCAAAGTGGATTCTGAGATGCCTGCATTTTCCATGAACATGGGTTGACTGATAGACTTACAGGCCACCTTCAGCCCTCTGCCCATTTTTGTAAATAAAGTCTTACTGGAACACAGCCATGTTACTTATTTTCCCCCATATTGTTTGGCTGCTCAAAGGCATAACTCAGAGGCAAAGATGAGTAGCTGAGACAGAAACCATATAACCCCTATGCCCCGGCCCCTGCCACATTGAGTGACTCACTAGGGCTCAAAGGACTCAGAGCAGTCATACTCTTTAATACAGCTTATTTCCAGCATCAGCGAGAGAAAAAGACACATCACATCAAGTGGGGAGGAATCCATGCCATAGGCTTCCCACAGTCACCTGCCAGGAGGAGCCACACAGAACGTGTTCCTTCTTGCAGCATCAAAATGCAGCAGCATGTGGGCAGTATTTCTCCCCAGAGGAGATTGGTCAGGACTCGGGTTTTTAATGGGGAAGTTTTATTAAGTGCGCAGGTACTTTGTGGCCATGTGATCGATCGCACGGTCTCCAGAAGGAAAGCAGGTACTCACCGTAAGTTGCATTGCTTGTACAAATAGTCCAGGCAAGCTGGCACAGCAGAATTCAGTGCCCCTGGCATACAAAATGACGGTGTGACTTAGTACCAGGGGAATATCTTAGATAAGTTCCCAGATATCAGCCAAGAGCCAATCCTGCCAGCAGGCCCTTTGGGACAGGAACATCAAGTCTGCTGTGGTAACTGTTTGCTGCACACTGGCAAAACGTAAAATATTTACTATTTGGGCTATTCTAGAAAAAAGTGCTAATTTTGAGCTGCAGAACCCTCAAATGCCTGTAAGGGGAGACTTGTTGGCCTCTGATCTCTGCTTGACTCCCTCACTCTACCCATGTTGCTCTCTGCCTCGGCTGCCACCAGCCTGGTCCAGACACCACCATCTCCCCCTTGACAGTAGCCTCCTAACTGGTCTTCCAGAAATGTCCCTTAACCCCTTGGTCCTGTGGGCCACTCTCATTCAGCAGCAGAGTGATCTTTTTGAAATCTAAATCTGACAGGCATCTCTTGGCTTAAATCCCTTTTGGGGTTCCCTGTGGTCTTTGGTAGGGCCTCCAAGGGCTTCCTTGAGCTGTCTCCTTGCTGCATCCCCATCATTTCTCCCCCTCTCTCAGTTCATGCCAGATCCTGGCCTTCTTTCTGCCTCAGGACCTTTGCACATGTTACTTCTCTGCTAAGAATGCTCCCTCTTTCCTCCCCAGACCCTCCTTCTGCACCTTGCCCAACATCCGCTCATCCTTTAGGATTCAGTTTAAACATCACTTTTTCAGGCAAGTCTTTCCGAACTGCTAACCATGCACCCTTTAGTATTTCATACTTATTTTCCAAAGTGCTTACCATGTTTGCAGGGAAATATTTATATATGTATATACATGTATGTATGTATGTATGTATTACATGTGTGATTTGTTTAATGTCCATTCATTTGCTTGACAGATACTTACTAAGTGCCTGTTCTGTATCAGAGATTATTATAGGTATCAGGGATATATAGCAGTGGACATTGAACAAAATAATGATCCCTTCCCCAAGAAGTTTATATGCCAGTCAAAGAAGATAGCAGTGAACAGAATAAAAAATAAAATATGCAGTCCATTAAATGGCGACAAGACCCAAAGAGGCCAAGGATGGAGTGGCAAGGGGAGTGCTTAAGAGAGGGTGGATACAAAGTTCCTCCCAGAGAAGACAGCTTGGAAGCAAGGTCTGTATCTGTTTTTCCCACCATTGTATCTCCAATCCCTAGCTAGCTCAGTGAGTGGGACATAATAGGTGCTCAATAAATGTTTGCTGAATGACTGTAAGAGCCAAAGCTATTTTGAGATTTTTGAGGAAAGATTCTGTTGCTTTAGCCAAAAATTTAAAAACCTCCAGCTCACCAGATCTGTGAGTTGTAATGTTTTTTGATTCTCCTTGTGTGAGCATGCCCACCAAAAGGAACAGAGATAGTTAATTGGGATAGAGGTAAGGATAGTGACCACAAGAGGGAAGGGTAAACAAAATTTCATGTAACTGGTGTCTTTGGAAGCTGGAGTGTGTTGCGGGAAGGGCCCAACATGGCTGAAAAGAGAGGTGGGGGTAGCCCTGAGCCTGCTTTCTGTCTGCTCCGGGGGCTGAAAGGCTGGTGTTGGGGTGTATAGTAACCTGGACTCTGTGGAGGGGTCTTGATAACTCCTCGAACTTTGGAGGCTAGCACATCACACAGATTCGTCTCGGCGTGCTGAGGGAAGGCAGCCTGTGCGTGGGTCAGTAGAATCACAGTACCCCAGCTAGAATGTCCACTCAGTAGATAGATCCAGGTCAGAGAGGCTGAGCTACTTGTCTGTGGCCACACAGCAGCTCAGTGGCCCAAATAGGACTTAGAGCCCAGGGTTTCTGGGCTCTGAAT